GTATGGACGGTCGATAATTGTCCACACATACAACTTTACGCATATCTTCAAAGCTTGGATCGGATGGTACCACATCGTAAAAGGGTACTTTATATTCTTCAGCAATACCACACGATATTGTACGTCGGCATACCTCCCATATAACTAAACCTAGGGCATAGATATCGGTACGTCTTAAAGCCTCAAAGTTGTGCATATCAATGCTGGAAATAAAATTTAAAGTAATAAAATATAAATAAAATAAAGCATAAAACAAATACTATAAAATAATACATTTTACAAAAAATGCAGTCGAAACTCGATAATTTAAAATATGTTAGTTATTTTAAGTAGTTAGTTATTGAAAAGTCTTTAAATCCTTTCCCTGGTCCCTTAAATTTGAAATTATCGACAGTCGATTGTATTTCAGTTTTTTTTTTGTTTTTTGATTCTCACCTCTCATCCAATACCTCAGGTGCCATATAACGTTTTGTACCAACTTTTGGATTATTGCCCAAATCTAATTTTCCCGTAACATTCGAGTGCATAACGGCTAGGCCAAAATCAGCAATAACACATGTACCATTTGGTTTGACCAAAATATTTTTTGATTTTAAATCACGATGAGCCATAGCAGGTTTACCCTGTAAAGTATAAAAATATATACGTAGATTAAAAAAATTCTTATCGGTTTAAAAAAAGAAGAGATCATTTACCTCGGTGCCAAATATTTCGGTGTGCAAATGTACCAGACCATTGGCAATGGAAAGGCATATTAGAATCATATCACGATGACTTAAGGCATTACGGTTCAAATGATCAAATAACGAGCCATGGGGATAATAATGGGTCAATAACCATAATTGTGTACAAGAATTTCTTGATGTCATATCGGAGCCAATGAAACCCAAAATGTTTTCATGACGCAAAAGAACGGTACTACAAAAATAAAACAAGAGTTAACAAAAACATTTAGATTAATAAAGAATTCAAGAAAATATTGCTGTATTCGTACCTATAAATTTCAGTTTCACGTTTCCATGATTCTTCGTCACGACTGAAGAAGATTTTAACAGCAATATTTTCACCATGCCAATGACCCCTCCACACTTCACCATATTTACCACGACCAATACATTCCACAAGAGTAACTTGTTTTGCCAGTGTCCGTTGTATTAGCAATGGCATGCCGGAACCTGAACCCGATGTTACTGAATGTTGTAAATATTCCTAAAAATTAAAAAAATAATAATAATAATTTATAAATCATATATTTAACAAATATATAAATTTTCATATTACCCTCAGTGTACTATCACCGGCACTGGTAACACGCAGCAATTCATCATTGACCAAATATGAATCGGGATCCTGTTTGGTTCTGGAATACTCTAAACGTTTACGATGATTACGTCGTATGAAATAAAATGCAACATAGGCCAATATCGAAATAATCACAAAGGGTCCCAATATAGCAAATGTCATTTTCATAATGTTGCTGGTGTCCGCATTTAGTTGGGTTACTTCTGTAAATAGGAAAGTTTAATAAAAATTTTAATTCATGTTTCGGAGTAGCCCCTATACAACGGGGCATTGGGTGACAAATTTCCGTACCAAAAATTATAAATATTGACCCAAGTTTTAGGGTAGCCCCCATATAATGATAGGCTTCAATATTCGGTATTTAGGGTTTATTGAGCACATTTTTCATCGGAATTGGCTATAATTTTATATTTGAGATTGTTAATGTATAGCCAACTTCCCTATTAAAAATTAATAATTTTGAATAAAGTTTCGATGTAGCACCCATATAACGTTGCCCCCAAATATTTGGGTTTTTAAGTTTTTGGGCACACTTTTCATCCGAATTGGTTGTAATTTGGTATATTGAGTTCCTAATGTATAGTGATCCTCCCCAATAGAAATGATAGTGGATTTTTAAATAAATATTTTTCCATAGGTTCCTCAGACCTGGATTTCTAGAAGAAATATTTTTCCAAAGGTCCATCAGGCGTAAAGATCTGGATTTTTATAAGTATTTTTCCAAAAGTTCCCCTATTTAACGGTATACCCCAATATCCCTTTTTTAAGAATTTGTGTTTTGCATCCGAATTGGTTGTAATAAGGCATTTCATTTTCCCCTAAAAGACCCGCATTTTTGAATGTCAACCTCATGGTGGATGGTAGAAAAAGAGAACAACATTTTTACTTGTTAGATTTGAAAATATTTGATAGCAATTTTTTCTGCAAATACCTCAAAATCGAAAGATTTTGTTGTTGTTGTGACAACGGCATAGGCCGTCAGGTCCAATGTGATCATCGACGAGATGTGAAGCTTACAAGTGTGAGAAGGAAAGTATGAGATGGTATCGATGGTTATAGAGATCAGAAGATATATTATGTCTCAAGGTTGCACTTTCCCAACCTCTTTAGGTTTCTAATTATGCTGTATATTAGAGTAGGTTCCGTTGTTGAGAAGAAACTATGATCAACTATAGATATGTCGTCGACTTTCGATTTTTTCCGGTCCCGCGATTTTTTTTTTTTTTTTTTTTTGAAACCCTTGCTAAATTCTCTGATCCCCTGGATTTTCTAATATAGATATTCGATAGTATGCAAATAAATTAAAAATTAAATTATTTATCTTACCATCGATTGGTGGAGGTAGCTCTGGAAAATCACCATCATTGCAATAGTCTCCCGTGCAGCATTCCAAATTTATGAAAGTCTGTGTATTACGTTTACGTGGTCCACCAAAATTATTACCCAAATTGTGATTACAATAAAGGGGAATTTGTTCGGGAGACATAATACAACCACGGTTAACCCTTTCCTCGCCAAAAGAATCACGTATACGGGATTTGTAACACTGTCAAAACACAATCAAATAGATAAGATAAAAAAACGGTTGATTGAAGCGTGTGATCGGTTTTAACAAACCTGTATAGCATTCTGGCACATGTGGGCATGTTGGGTTGCATTGTGGCAGGGTGCATCGCATGATAAACATTTAAATCTGTAAATAGTTAAAATGGTATTAAACTATTTTTTTATAAAATTAAACGAATAGGTACATGGGAATAAACAAAAATACAATTAGGAAATTAATGTATAAGAACCAAAAGAATATCCATCATATTGTTGATAAACAATAATAAAAAGAACAACAAAAAAGAAAACACCACTTCTGTAAAAAATCATAACAAATCACGACCAAATGGAACGGAAAACAATATATGGTCCACAAGAAATTTGCAATGTGGGTTACCTTCTTTTCATGCGTCTTTTGGCCTTTGAATGTCTCCTACGTAGGTTTTGTTTTTTTATTTTAGCGTAGGTTGTAATTATAGGTTCATATTTTTTTAATACGGATAGAAAGGGGAAATATATAGCAATAAAAAATGCAAAAATATTATGAGATTTTTCTAGCAATAATCATTTAGCTTTTTTTGACTGATATCCCGGCTATACCGAAATAATAATGGAAAAAATCACTCCGCCGCCACTTACCTTGGATGTGGTGGCTGTATTGAATTTTGTGCAGGCACAATTGGAAATTCTTTACTGTTTACTGCATGATGTTGTTGTTGTAGTACTTCAGCTGCCGTTTCTCTATCCATATTTTCTTGATGCTCGTCCAATAAGCGGCCACTTATTTCACCTTTAACGAGAGATCGAATATTTTTGAATACAACAAATTACGACTAAATATCATATCACATAGGTCACATATAATTGTTTTCAAACATCAATAATTACGAAGTTCAATTTCCAAATTCTATGATAATAATTGCTGCATTTTTTACGGTCTGTTTTAGAACACAAACAATATACACACATAAACGCGAGACGACAGACACCACACATACACCACACCAACAAAAAACAATTTGTGTGAATCGGAGGAGAATGAAAAAAAGAACACTGATTTTTCCTTTGCCCACAATTTATTTATATTCCAGGGAAATTTTATTTTATTTCATTTTATTGTTGTTGCTTAATATTTTCCATCACTTGCATTTTTGTTTATATACCTTTTACATATTTTATATTGATTATACAAATAATGAAAATAAAAATAATCCACTTTATAATCGCCATTAGAAATAGGGATAAATAAATCGACTTTCGACTAATCGATTTATCGACCATGAATATTACATTGCCATGTTTTGGCAATGAACGCCGTTAATAAACGTCTTCGCATTATTTGTTATATGAAATACAACCCTGTTGGAAGGGGGGACACAAGGACAAGTCAAAAGCAAATTACATATTTTTAATAAAAGGCGTCATTTGGATTATCAAATTAATTTATTAGACATCAAATAAAAGACGCGTTTTATTAAAATGGGTAATTATATACTGGGTAATTATTACGAAATCAACTCGATATAAATTGTCAGTTCCATAGGCGACAAAAGTTATGTACAATTATTCAAGGTAGGCCATATCAACTTATAAAATACAATTTTTTTTTTCATACTGTGATAAAATATTAATATATTCGTTTTGACGTCTGACATAATTTTGTATGTATGTATATGTTTCAAAATATGATTTGACAGCAAACTTTATACCCACCTGTGCTTACTGGCCGACCTTATATAGGCCTTGTCATATCATTTTAACAGATGCAAAATTTCATAATGGCCTCACGACATGTACAGTATTCACATATGTACAATTTGATAGTACAAATGGGATAATGGCTTGTGAATCAAGCATTCAAACTGAGTCCAAAAGGAATATCACAAAAAATCCAAATAACTTGATGTGTGGCCAGGCAGTTCACCATAACTAATATCACAACGCCGTTCTTTTACGTGTGCGGCTTTTCAAATAGGTCCGCTCAATTCATTCATTACGTTTAGTTGTGATTCTCTCGTGCTCTCAACTGCCTCGTCGGCAAATTTGCGTGCAGCCAGCAATTTTGTTTGGTGCGACCGGATAAGTGTTTTTTTTTATTCTTCTTCGTTTTGATGATGAATCAAATAATAAAACTAAATGCAATATGATTAAATATAAATAATTTGTAAAGAAGAAAATTCAAGTGCAAACGATAACAAAACAACAATAAGAAAAATGGATGTGGATAATGACAATTTTTACGGTGAGCAAAATGAAAAAAGGCCCGCTTTTAGATGGGTGTATTATGAGGAGAAAAAAGAAGTGGTGATTCAAGTGGTGTAGATGTGTATATATATATATATGTACAATGTACATATATAGTGCAATTATGTCAAATATGAGTGGTTGTGTGTGTTTGCGCGAGAGTAACAAGAATTTAGAAAAGCAAACTCATTCATAAGGTTGCAAAAAAATGGTTACAATATAAAAAATATATTTTTGTTGGGCTGCCCATTTTTTTATATTTTACCTACCATACGTAATATATAAAGAGGCGATGGCGGAGGAGGAATGGTCTGCAATATGTTTTTGGGGCTCAATGAAATGTTATCTTGTTTTTTATTGTGTGTTATTTTTTCAAACATCCATATGTTTGTTTGTAACAAAAAGAACCAGAAATTTCTTTTAGAATATTAATCGATTTACCGCAGTTATAGAATTTATTTAAAGTAAACGGCGTTGATGTTACGACGATTATCGAAAGAAGAAGAGCAGCACAAGTCATGTTGCCGAGTTGCTTATTAGTTTTTTGTTAGAAAAAAAAATAATATATACACTTGCTATATGTGTGTGTGAGAGTAGTGTTAGTGTATATTTGTTGTTGTTTGTTTATTTAAAATCGTGTTCCATTTTTCTTTCTGTTTTTTGCCGGAATAAACGGAATACTACAGACGCAGCAGCAACAACAACAAAGACGTCACATAAAATCCATGTTTTTTCTTGTTGCAGCAGCAGTGTTTGTCAAAAGAGAGACAGATAACAGGTTTTGTTTTGTTACCTTTGCATCTCTCAGTGTTGATTGTTTACCTGTCGTGGCAGTGATACGTGTGGTGTGCATGCATGTGATGTATTTATTTCTCTGTCTCTCTCGCTCTGATCGTTGATCTCTTGTTATTATTAGAGGGATTTAATTAATGATTCATTGTAAAACCGTTAAAAACGTGGTTTTCCCTACTGAAATGGAATTGTGTGATATGGATGGTAATAGGGTAGAAAGTAATGTGGAATTTCTTTTATTTCTTAATTTAATACACTTAATTAAAAATTTATTTTTTTATCTAGAAAATATGAACCAATAGGAACAAAAATAGGAGAATAAACACAGGGAAGGATGTAATCGAGGATCATAAAAGCTAGTTAAAACCCATCGAAAATGGATGTTATTCAGTTGAAAAAAATTTCGAAGACAATGGTAGTCAATAGTATATAGGGTGTTATTTAAACCGCCTTCATATGTTGGCTTGTAAAAATGCGGGTAATTGCTGCTACTAAAAATGTGGTTGATTGAAAATGTAACGGTCAGTATATGAAATTGGTAGATTATGCCAAAAAATACGGGTACAAGTAGCAATGCATAGCCAAATTAGCAAAAACTTCATGGTAAATTACAAATTTCTTTTATTATAAAAATTTTATTATAAAAAACAAGAAATCCCCAACTTATTTTTCCACAATTAACTCCAATTTTGGAACGTTCATATTGCACTAGGGTTGCTAGGGTATATAATTCATTACCAAAAATTTATCCCAATACTCATATCGCAATAAACTCTTACAATATCTTCAATCGCTTGAATAAAAGGCTACAATTAAGCCTTTTTTGCTTTTCCCTGGTTTTAGCCATTATTAAATATGTTAATTAAATTCAATATTGTATTGATTGTATTGATTAATAATAAAAAATAACAATAATAATTTCCTTCTAAATCTATCCTTTATTTTTTGGCCATTTTGAGTTATTTTCATACAATTTAATTTGTTTATTTTGAGTAGTTGAATACTGAAGATAAATTTCTGTAATTACTTAATATTTTACTTTAATGTTTTTGTAAATCAATTCAGAGTAGTTCTTATTCAAATGATTTGTTTCTATTACTTTTAATGAATATTTATGGAGCTTGAACAAATGTAACATGAAAAGAAATACTAGTGTTTAAAATTTATATTTTTAATTTGGTCTAAGTTTATTTTGTAGTATACTGGCCATATAAGGCTTTTTGGCTTGGCTTTGAAATGAATAAATAAATAATAATAATAAAGTCTCCCATATTTTCCAGGTAGAAGAAAAAATATGTATGTAATTCTAATGAACCTTTGTTCAAAACCCGATTGACAATCGTTTTGGCAAATAACTTGCTAATAATGAACAATAAATTGTATAGTTGTAATCAAGCGACCAAACTGGTGCCATTTGTGTCTACATCTGTTTTGGATTAGGGTTATATTAATTAGGGTTATATTACCTAACACTGGATAAAATTTCAAAATCCTGTTTGGTCCGTGGACTAATACACATCAAAAAAAAAAAAAAAAAAAAAAAACGCGCCGGTCCTTGAAAAAACTAAATATTTTTTTCAAATCCACTCCTGTTTCATCTTCTCCCGCCTGTTCGGTCATTGATAGCGATCGTCTTCGATCCTGACTACCGGGCGCTAAGCACACCGCAGGCAGCCTTGAATGCGATCTTGAATCTCCAACCACTGGATTAAATTCCAGGCTGCTAGATGTACCATGAGGCTCCGAGAAACGGATGCTGAACTATGGTTACGTTAGTATCCTCAACACAACGCCAGGTTGTGATTTCTTGAGGAGACGTAATCACATTAGTGACCATATTCCCTCTCATAGAGACTTTAATGACATCAGAGTAGGTTTTCCTAGTAGGGAATACTGGACTAGTGACTTCTTACCTCTGCCATTAAATTTTTCACAGACGGGTCAAAGATAGAGAAAGGCACTGGTGCAGGAGAGACAGATAACAGGTTTTGTTTTGTTACCTTTGCATCTCTCAGTGTTGATTGTTTACCTGACTTGGCAGTGATACGTGTGGTGTGCATGCATGTGATGTATTTATTTCTCTGTCTCTCTCGCTCTGATCGTTGATCTCTTGTTATTATTAGAGGGATTTAATTAATGATTCATTGTAAAACCGTTAAAAACGTGGTTTTCACTACTGAAATGGAATTGTGTGATATGGATGGTAATAGCGTAGAAAGTAATGTGGAATTTCTTTTATTTCTTAATTTAATACACTTAATTAAAAAATTATTTTTTTATCTAGAAATTATGAACCAATAGGAACAAAAATAGGAGAATAAACACAGGGAAGGATGTAATCGAGGATCATAAAAGCTAGTTAAAACCCATCGAAAATGGATGTTATTCAGTTGAAAAAAATTTCTAAGACACTGGTAGTCCATAGTATATAGGGTGTTATTTAAACCGCCTTCATATGTTGGCTTGTAAAAATGCGGGTAATTGCTGCTACTAAAAATGTGGTTGATTGAAAATGTAACGGTCAGTATATGAAATTGGTAGATTATGCCAAAAAATACGGGTACAAGTAGCAATGCATAGCCAAATTAGCAAAAACTTCATGGTAAATTACAAATTTCTTTTATTATAAAAATGTTTAAAGTCTCCCATATTTTCCAGGTAGAAGCAAAAATATGTATTTAATTCTAATGAACCTTTGTTCAAAACCCGATTGACAATCGTTTTGGCAAATAACTTGCTAATAATGAACAATAAATTGTATAGTTTTAATCAAGCGACCAAACTGGTGTCATTTGTGGCTACATCTGTTTTGGATTAGGGTTATATTACCTAACACTGGATAAAATTTCAAAATCCTGTTTGGTCCGTGGACTAATACTCTTCAAAAAAAAAAAAAAAAAAAAACGCGCCGGTCCTTGAAAAAACTAAATATTATTTTTCAAATCCACTCCTGTTTCATCTTCTCTTTAAAAATTCCCTGTTCGGTCATTGATAGCGATCGTCTTCGACCCTGACTACCGGGCGCTAAGCACACCGCAGGCAGCCTTGAATGCGATCTTGAATCTCCAACCACTAGATTAAATTCCAGGCTGCTAGATGTGCCATGAGGCTCCGAGAAACGGATGCTGAACTATGGTCACGTTAGTATCCTCAACACAACGCCAGGTTGTGATTTCTTGAGGAGACGTAATCACATTAGTGACCATATTCCCTCTCATAGAGACTTTAATGACATCAGAGTAGGTTTTCCTAGTAGGGAATACTGGACTAGTGACTTCTTACCTCTGCCATTAAATTTTTCACAGACGGGTCAAAGATAGAGAAAGGCACTGGTGCAGGAGTTTACTGTAGGAAATTAGAAATCTACAACTTATATAAACTTAACAATCTTTGTGGCGTTTTCAAGCAGAAATTCTTGCGATCACGAAAGCGGCCGAGAATTCAAAACACTTACTGCCGATAATACGGAACCGGTGACTATATGTGTCGATAGTCAAGCGGCCCTCAAGGCTTTAATGTCGTGCACTATAAACTCAAAAGCAGTTCTTGATTGCAAGTCTGCTCTGCATGATCTACGACGGATAGTTAATTTATGTTGGGTTCTAGGACATAGCAACATAGAAGGGAACGTGATAGCCTACGAGCTTGTTCGAAAGGGTTCACAGGCGTCCAATCTCCCGATTGAGAGATCTGTGCAACTACACATTGGCTATTTCATTGGCAAAATCCGTTTGTTCTACGGCGAGGTAGTCGGCAACAGATGGTCGAGAGAACCTGGTTGCAGAATCTCAAAAGCTATCTGGCCTGAACTCTTTCGTCGATGAACTTCTTCGCTGTTGTCACATAATAAGAGAGAGAGAGAGAGAGAGAGTGATCAAAATAATAGTGGGGATCATAACAGGACACTGCAGGATTAGATCTCTAACTTCGAAATGGGACTCCAGCGGAGTGGATTACTGTCGTCTATGTGAGGACGAAGAGGAGCTAGAAACAATTGAACAACAATTCTTTTAAAATTCCACGACTGTTTGGTCTTTGGAAAAAACATATTTTTTTAAGATCCAAGCCTATTTAGTCCTTGGAAAAATATTATTTTAAAAATCCACGTCTGTTTGGTCCTTGGAAAAAAACTTCATACGAGTAGGAATCCACTGAGGCCCTCTTTAAAACAAATAAATATTACCCCTTGACTTTACAGGAATAAATCCAATTCTTCGACTCGGGTCGTTTCGGATCGTAGACCCCTCTGTCGTGGAAACGACCCTCATATGTGTAGGTCTCAATACTGATATTCTCGGCTTGATCTGAATCTTAACAGTCGATATCCGAAATGATTCTCGTGTTTGTCGTTGGCATTCTTTTAGACGGTATTTTGTTTCCCGAGTAAAATAAGTTTCCAACTCCATTTGATGAGGATGATAAGATCACAACATCCAACCCAATGTTGTGTATCTTGAATGCGGTATATGGCAAGGGAAGGTTTTCTTTATATGACCTCCAGAATTAATTTTCTTGATACAATTTCAAGCCGATAAATTTCATTGATGTACCCGATGATATCAGTTTTGTTAATATAGCCGCCATATACATATTAGCTGAATCATTTAGTTTTCGGTTGTCTTTGAGTCCTCCCCCACTCCTAAATTTTGACCGTCTATATATTCTGTACATGACCGGGTACATATTCTGTCGATCAGAATATTTTCATTCAAAAAAAAAAAAAATAAAATAAAAAAAATCTTGTAAAATTAATCTGGAACAAACTGATAACACAGACAGTTCAACAACTGCTGTCGGTCAGTAACAGTAAACTAATTCATTCAATACATTTTTGCTCAAAATATTTGGAATAGGCAGAAAACAATCCACCTCATCGTATCAGTTTATAGAGATATTTATATTTGTAGAACTTTGCATGAGACATACCTATACGGTCTACTTGAGATAAAGCCCCTTGTGGGGAAAATATGTTAAATCGTTTCGTAGGGGATACACCTTAATAGATCTGAAAATATTAGACGAACTTTCGCACATCTTCATAGACCTTTATACATATTTGGGGAAATTTTGATGTAGGCCAATTTTTCGGTTTTTGGAAAATCGCGCAATATATTTTAGATCCCCAGAAGATAGAATTTAGATTATTTCTGAGTAAAAAAAATAATATCTTCCAACTACCTATTTGCAAAAAACATCCGAAGAACACCTGTTAAAATAATCGACATCATAGTAAAATAAATATAATTACTTATAATTATAAAAAAAAAACATTCTTTTCTTCTATACCCATTAAATAAATAATGTATTTCACAACTACATGCAATGCGCTGTCATAAACCCAACACTTGGTGATTGTGTGCTGTTTATTTGGCTATGCTATAATTTATGTCCAAAGTACAAAAGTGCGGCTTAATGGTTTTTCCAGGCACTGGCTTCTCGGGGTACCCTTTGTAAATAAAGAACACATCGACACAAACATACCAAACAAAAACAATTGAAATACAATACAAAAAAAAAAGAAATTTTGGTTTCATTTGATAAACAGGGTTTCAAAAAGTTACAATTTGTTGGTAAACAGCATGACCGATGGTTGTGTACCACCGTACCGACAGACATATCATTGTTATTAATGAAAAGTGTTGAAAATCCATACGATCCTACCTAGCACCCTTAGTGTTAAAGGGCCTGTCATAAACGGGCTAGTGTGTGTGTGTGTAAAAAAATCTTAAATGTTTTTTTTTTTCAACTGATTACAAATCAATTTTCCACCCCTTATTTTTTTGTTGTTACTGCTTCTACTTTTTCTTTTGTCGTTAAATTTATGGTTCTTTAAAAATCATTAAGATAAATTCCAAGAAATATGGCTTGAATAGAGGGATTGTCCCACAATGCAACAGGTTACTTCTTGTTTTTTTCTTCTTTTCTATCATTTACACTTTAGGATACATTTTATTTTGTTTTATTTGAAAAAAAAATCGAAACCTTTTCGTTTGTCTTATCATAAAAAATATGATTTGTATTTTCTATTCGATAAGATTCCCGTATGTGTGTGTTTGTTGCTTTAAAAGTTTTGGAAATTCTAGGAGATAAGATTTGATTTAGATACTTGAAGAAGAAAAGGAAAACAAAAATAAAATATTTGTTACAATTTTTTTATTTAGACGAAAATATTTTTTATTTAGACGAGATATTGTAAATACGATGGAAAGTATTATTATATTTATAATAAAAAACAAATTATTGATTATTTTTTATAAACTCTGTTCAAAATGGGGTTAACAATTATATTTTCCCATTTACTCTCATTGCTATATGAGATAAAATCTTAAAACCAAAATAAACAATATGTTATTAAAATTTATAACCATGGTGGAACATGGAGTAGTTAAATTACCTCAATTCGTCGTGTATACAGAACGTAAATGATTACAATGTTGATATGACATTACATTAAAAAAAAAACTGTTATACTAATTGTGCCCTAGATACCACCTCACCCTCCGCTTCAAGTTGTAAATATGTAGTTTATACGATGTAGAGTGTAATAAAAACCATTTCAATTTGATTTGTCATAAAAAAGAGGGGAACTATTTGTTTAATTGTAAATTCAGAATAAAAATCTAGAATTTTCTACCGGGTTTTTTTTCAAAAAGAATTGGGACTTAGTTTGCATTACCCGACATTTTGATAAATGGTAACGGGCCCATAGGAGCCCAAAATGTTCACAAAAAAAGAAAAAAAATCAGATTTTTTATGTTTCAAGAAAATAGTTTTGAAAAGAAAGTCAATTTTTAGACCTATGTATATAAAGTCAATGACGTAGGGGATGACAGATACCGAGCAACGGCTCTGATTGACATTAACATGGCAAAGCCCAGACTTATCTTGGTCCCTCTTTCATCTCAATTGTGGACACTGAACTCCCGCCTGGAGTCACCTGGATTAACTACTTTTAACATCATTATTGTTGACATACATATATATGTGATAGGTTAAACTTCTACATAGCCGATCTTGTTAATTTCTTCCATCTGAGGAATATGAAAATATCCGCCACAAAATCAACAGCCACCCTGTTCACCACATGGACGGCTGAAATTAAGCTCCCACTGAACGGTCGATGGAGAACTGATTCCGACCACCAACTAACGCAAAATACTGGGAGTAACGTTCGGCAGCCTTTTCAAGTCGTCTGCGGAAGCCACTGCTTTATGCGATAAGCAGAGAAGTAGGAATAAGGTCCTCAAGTCGCTAGCCGGCAACACTTGGATCGCTGACAAAGAAACCTTTTTGACCTCTTATAAAGCAATAGGCCGGTCAGTGGTAAGCTATACGGCGCCAGTGTGGTTTGCGAATGTAATTCGCAGTGGTAGAATAACCAGACTTGCCAGAATATTGCCCTGAGACATTCTGACATTCTGATTAAATTCCAGGCGGCCAGATGTGCCTTGAGGCTCCTAGGAACGGATGCCTGGAAATCGCTGAACTTTGGTCCCGCTAGTATCTTCAACATAACGCCAGGTTGTGATTTCTTCAGGAGAAATACTCACATTAGTGACTATGTTCTCTCTCATAGAGACTTTTATGGCATCAGAGTAGAGTTTCCTTGTAGGCAATCCTATACTACAATCCTATACACTGATATAAACTTAACAATCGTTGTAGCGTTTTTCAAGCATAGTCAAAACACTTACTGCCGATAATACAGGACCAGTGACCAGTGATATGTGTCGATAGTTGAATTCGTGCACTATAAACTCAAAAGCAGTTCTTGATTGCAAGTCCGCTCTGCATGATATACGACGGATAGTTAATTTATGTTGGGTTCCAGGACATGGCAACATAGAAGGGAACGAGACGAGCTTGCTCGAGGGGCAATCGTCAGATCTGTGCAATCGCCCATTGGCTATTGCATTGACAGCATCTGAGTTTTATCCGCATCTTTTTTTGCCAAAAATTCTGCTTTATCGAATATTTTTTTTTGCGGATTTGATTTTTTTTATTATCAAAGAAGAATTGTTGTGACTTTGACCTTCAGTTTTTTATTTCTCTGTTTTAAATATATAGAGAATGAGATGTGAAGAAGAAAAATTTAAGTTGAATTTAAGGTATTGTTGATAAGGCTAAAAAATCAAATTCAAGTGGTGGTTGAAAAACTGCTTTCATTTTTTTTACCCCAACTTATTTTGAAATTATTGGTTATTAGATCACAAATTTTCCTAGCAAAACCCCAAAATAAACCCCTCAAGTGATGAGTAATAAAGTGGCTAAAATTTCTCCAATAACATTGTTGCTATTTATGTATGTATGCGGTGTGCATAAATGTCAGTTATCGGTAATTTTGGACACATCACATTCACTCATCAAAGAGATCTTGTTGTCGCTTCCCCATCCCCTTCACTTTATTCGAATGATGATGATGATAATGATGGACGTCATCGGTTTTTGGAGTACAACAAGAAAACAAAATCAATTTTATAATCGTCACGCTTGCAAAAGCGCCACAAACAAAAAAAAAAAAGTTCACCTTGTTCACCGAAGACGACACCACGAAGCGCGCTTGCTTAGCAGCTATTCGCATTAATTATGTAAATTTAATATTAAATAAAATCGCATCGTGTCTTCATTTGTTGCTCTTCTTCTTCTGTTTTTTTATTTCTTTCTTTCCTTCTTTATTTTCATTTGGTTCCGAACATGCCAGTGTTGTGTATGTGTGACTTCTGCTGGCTCAACAGTGGTTTCTTCAAAATTTTATTTCATCATAATAAAAATTGAATAATAATGGAATTTTTGTTGTTCTTTTATTTTTTTACAGATGAAATAGCATCGTTTATGCCGCAACCTGGCGACTATAGCCTAGATGATTTGGATGAAATAATACGTTCAACGGATTCTCATTTGGATGCATCATTTGATTTGAATGCCTTTCCCAAGCCATTGGGGGACGGTCATCAAAATGAGGACTATGATATGGGTGCTGGTGTGGCCATGGCCATGGATCCGCTACCCCATATGATGACCTCCACCACTACTTCAGCTGTTTCCGCCGATAATCCTGCTCCAAGTGATTTTCATTTTGATTTCTCCGCCTTTCCCTCCCCTGCCACTTCACAACAATCGTCCGGCGATTATGTGTCACCATTCGATACACCGGTTCGCACCTCTTCAACATCATCGGTAGATGGTGATTATTTCAATCCGGATGATTTTATTAATTTCCTTAACGATGACGATGCCAAGTTTGAGGACCTGACTCAGGATACAATACGGAAACTGAATCAACACAATGAACGCAATACCCCCTCGCCCACGGGAAGTTGTTCCAGTTCGAGTGGTAGTTCAACTACCAGTGGAGTACAAAGTGATTCATCATCGTTGTTTTCGGTGCCACGCAATGGTTCCGAACATCATTCGACGGCTGCATCTCCCGAACATGAACATCAAGATGATCTGTCGGAATTTATACGTTTTAAAAATGAAAAATCGGAAAATTCAAATGGTTTTGAAGGTGATGAGGAAATGAAAACCACCACTGTAAATGAAGATGACAATACCTTTGTTGCTCCCCCAACACCAGTTGTGGCTGCTGCTCCAGCTACTACGGCGGTGACATTGGCAACCAATCCCCCCACGCTGATACCAGTTACATTACCCGTGGTACCGGTGGCCACCCTGCAACCAGTTAATATTGTACCAGGCACAATAATGCCCGTACAATCCAGCGCCGCCACCCTGCCAGTAAATAAACTAACACCTGTGGTGAATATAAAAGCCCCAGTTGTCAAACCACCAGTTGCGGTTGCTCTCCAAAATCCAGCACAAACGGTAAAAGTCATCAATGCTCCCGCCCCGGCAGCAAAAGTAACCACAACTCCCCCAACTAATCCCAAACCTAAAACCATATTCCTTTCCTCGAATGATTTTAAGGCCCTCATGCAAAAGGTCAATACCACAAATGGTGGTGGTGTCAAAAAATCTGGAACACCACCGAAAATTATTATGAAAACCGCCAGTGGTAAATTTATAACAGCAAATAAATTGGGACAGGCAACAACAAGTGTCACAACAAGTCAACAACCAAAAACATCGGCAACAATCTCTCTGCCAAATGGTGTTAAATTGGCCAAAAATGTGACACCAACAAACATGATAACTACTAACCGGCAACAACAACAGCAACATCATCAACAACAACATTCATCAAAAATTAACAACAACACCGGCAATTCGAATGTTCGTTCTGCTGCTGCCATGGCTGCTGCTCGTGCCACTCTATCATCTCTAACGTCGAAGAATTCTCGTGCGGATTTACATTCATCTTTGCGTGACTTTAGCGGTGCCAGTGATGATAAAATTCTTAAGAAACAATTGCGTATGTTGAAAAATCGTGAATCGGCCTCATTGTCGCGGAAAAAGAAAAAGGAATACGTTGAACGTTTGGAAAATCGCATACACAATTTGGAAAAGGAAAACTATTCATTGAAGGGGGTAAGTGCGATAAATTAAAGAATTATTGCTTATAAAATGTCATAGTGTGCAGTGTGCGCATTAGCATATGGTTCGAACGAGGGAGGAGGAGAGGCTGATAGAAAACACTAAAAGCTACACACAACTGGTATGGGCGATAAATAGTTTTCAACCCTATAAAACTCCTGGTCCAGATGGTAAAATACCGACCATGCTGCAACACGCAGATGAACGAGTATTAGCCTCTCTGCAAGACATTTCTAGGGCTTGTCTACTTTTATCGTACATACCTAGTTCATGGAAAGAGACCTTGATCCCGAAAGCCGAGTCATTCGCTACCAAAGGACTATATTCTCTTCCTTTCTACTCACGACTTTAGAAAGGTTACTAGACTCAGAAATTAGAAATACTATTGACCAAAGCAAACTTAGCAACTGCCAGCATGCCTACAACAAAGGCAAATCAGTGGATACGGCCTTACATGAGGTGGTTGGATGCATTGAGAAGAACATGGAGTTCTCTGATTACACCTTGGCAGCGTTCCTCGATATTGAGGGTGCTTTCAACAATGTAAAGCTAGAGGCCATCCATTCTGCTCTGGTAAGCTCAGGTATTCCCTCACTTCTAACGAACTTGATTGATAGAATGCTGGAAAGGAGAATTATCAACTCATCCTTTGGAGAGAGTTCCGTGAGGAAATTTTTCAACCGAGGCACACCACAGGCGGGAGTACTATCTCCCCTTTTATGTCTTCTGGTGATAAATGAGATACTTCTGAAATTCAATTATCTCAGGATAAAGGTTGTAGCCTATGCCGATGATGAAGTCTTGGTGGTTGGAGGTGAATTTCTAATTAAAATTTCAGATGTTATGGAGGGCGCCCTTTCAACTTTGACTAACTGGGCACACGCCAGGGGTCTTGGTGTAAACCCCCACTACCTTGGTACAATCCTTGACCGCAAATTAACGTGGAATAGGAATGTTGAGGAACGCTCTAAGAAAGGACTAATAGCACTCTACTCTTGCAAGAACTCCATAGGGAAGAGCTGGGGACTAAGACCAAATATCATACACTGGTTGTATGTGACGGTCGTTCTTCCCATTCTTACATATGATTGCATTGTATGGTGGCAAGGGGGTCAACAAAAAGATACTGCTGACAAATTTAAATTCAGTACAGCGATCGGTTTCGATCCTGACTAACGGAGCGCTAAGAAGCACACCGCATGAAATATACAACTCATATAAACTTAACAATCTTTGTAGCGTTTTCAAGTAGAAATCCTTGCAAACCCAAAAGCGGCCGAGATAATCAAAACACTTACTGCCAATAATACTACGGGACCGGTGACTATATATGTCGATAGTTGAAGTCGTGCACTACAAACTCAAAAGCAGTTCTTGATTGCAAGTTCGCTCTGAATGACTGATAGTTAACGACGGATAGTTAACTTATGTTGGGTTCCAGGACATAGCAACACATAATTGTGGGAATCATAACAGGTCACTGCAAGATTAGATCCCTCACTTCGAAATGGGACTCCAACGGAGAGGATTACTGTCGTCTATGTGAGGACGAAGAAGAGCTAGAAACAATTGAACATATCCTCTGTAGATGTCCATCGCTGAGTGGCAGAAGACACAAATTGATAATCTAGCTTTCTTCTCCAAAATATACCCCAATCAGATCCTAACCGGTATTAAAATTTGTAGTTAACCAAAAAACCACATGGTTTCAATTTCATGAAGACGGCGCATTTCGAATCGAAATTATTGTACTTCTAAAACGCAATAGTTAGGTACATCATGGATTAATTTAAAGTAACGTCAGCTTTTTTGAATATAACAACAATGTCTTCTATCTTATCTCTATGCAGGCAGTTCTCATAAGCTTCTAGAGTCAGGTAGACATTGCATTTTTTTTTTAAATATTGTTTGTGAAATAATTTATTTGCTGTTTTTTGATTAGTTTAGACAGGCCATGGCTACAACAAAACTCAAGTATATGCAATTTTTTTTGCTATACATTAAAAATAAATGTGGCTATGAGAATTGTTTGTGTAAATTCTTTTTTTTTTGTATTTTTGCGTTATTTTTTAAATGTGTGTTCTATTTTTTGTACACACAATATCTGCTATCTGTTTGTTTGTTTGCCTATAAAGTACATATAAACACAACACATGTGTGTATTAAAAATATATAAATTGTTATTTTTTTTCACTCGGGGAAAATTAAGTTATTGTAGATTCGCAACCTTTCTCTTTTTGGTTTCTTTAGAAATAACAGACATAAGAAAGGGAAAAATTGGTTGGCTTATCAAGTACAAACAAAACTCCTGGCCCCTCTACAACATGAACTGAATTTTTTACAAGGCGTAAAATTAATTTTAAACTGCATGCTGCCTCTCTTTCATAATATAAATCGTGAGCCAGTCAGTCAGTCAAGCAAAGTAAATTACATTTCTTTCTTTACCAAAAAATGGCATTCACTTTTTTGCCAATCTCTCAACATCACGACAATAAAATGAAGAGGTAGCAGCAAGCGCATGAAGACAGACGGACATTTTGTGGTAGAAGAGTTCATTGAACAGCTATATATGTATGTCGGTTGCGATTTTACCTAAAAAAAACATTATGACGACTTAAGTATACATTCATTTTGCTTTTTAGCAAATATCAATTGCTTGGAATTGTGTTAATCAGCACACTTATGGCAAATAATAAATAAATGTCGACTTTTTTCTCTCTCTTTCTACGATTGTTGTTGTTGTCGTTGGAGCTATGGCACAAGATAATGAACGAACTACACGCTGTTGTTTTGTGTAAACGCAGGAAGAGGAAGAAGAGAAAACACGTTTATATATTCATATAACGTTGAGCCACCGCCACATATATATAGCCAACAAAAGAACGACGATTGCCTTTCTTTCTTTCAGTATTGTTTTTGGCAAAAAAAAAAAAAAACACTTTTTAGCCGCAATAAATGGTGAATGTTGACTAACCACTTCAAAAGTTGCTGTTTTTGCAATCACCATCACTCAGATCTGTTCAACGCAATGAAGTGTAGACAAATGTAAAGCATACTTTTAGGCTGTTATATGATATTACCCTAATTTCATGTTCTTACTTGCAGTTGTGCTTGAAAATAAATGAAGAATATAAATGTGATATTTATACACATACCAATTGGCCTTAGTGAAGACCATGGTTTTGTATACAAACAAATTGGTCTTAATAAAGTCCTGTGGTCTCTACACAGACCAATCGGTCTCAATAAAGACCAATTAGTCTTAATAAAGACCATGGGTCACTCTCTATACAGACAAATTTGTCTTAATAAAGCCCTGTGGTCTCTATACAGACCAATTGATCACAATAAAGGCCATGGGTCTCTATACAGACCAATTGGTCTCAGTAAATTCCTGTGGTCTCTATAAATGATCGTATGATCCTAAGAAATGACAATGGTAATCTTTAGGCATAGGATCCATATAACTACACATTCTATTTTTTGTAGTTTTTATAACCTTCACCACACCGTGGAACAGGGTATTATGTCTTTGTGCATATGTCTGTAACAGGCAAAAGGAATCGAGATAGACCCATAGTTCCTTTTGAGAATATGCATAGAATTACTTTCTGAGTCGATTTATGCATGTCCGTCCGTCCTTCTGTTAAAGTTAAATTGTAAATAAAGTACAGGTCGTATTTATGATCCCAATTGGATCAAATTTGGCACAGCTCATTTATTTGGCCCAAGGACGAACTCTATTGAAATTGGGAAAAATCGGTTCAGATTTATATATAACTCCCATAAGGTAAATGTTGCACCAAAGTCCCTATATTTCTTTCGATTTGCACGAAATTTGGCACAGCGTACTGAATTGGATCTAGATTGATATATGCCAAGTATTGTTAAAATCGATTCAGATTTAGATATAGCTCCCGATTTTATGTAAATGGAGCACCATATTGTCAATATTAGTCCGATTGAGACAAAATTTTGCACAGAGTACTGAATTAGGTCCAAATTGATGTATGCCAAGTTTTGTTGGAATCGGGAGATTTAGATATAGCTCCTATATAGTTTCGTCTGATTTTATGTAAATGGAGCATCATACTGCCAATGTTAGTCCGATTGAGCCAAAATTTTGCACAGAGTACTGAATTAGGTCCAGATTTATGTTTCGTTGAAATCGGTTATTATTTAGATATAGCTCCCATATATAGTTCCGTCCGATTTTATGTAAATAGTGCTCCATACTTTCAATATTGGTCCGATTGAAACAAATTTTTGCACAGAGTATTGATTTAGGTCCAGATTGATGTATGCCAAGTATTGTTGAAATCGGTTCAGATTTAGATATAGTTCCCATATATAGTTTCCGATTTTATGTAAATGGTGCCCCAAACTCCCAATATTGGTCCGATTTTTTTTGCACAGCGTACTGAAATTACTGCATTTGTTATTATTTAATATTTTGAAATCAGATTTAGAAGTAAAAAAAAATTCCATTATTAATCCTCTTGTGCCTTTTGTTTTTCTCCCTTTTTTAGGAAAACACATCATTACGTTCCCAGCTAATGGCCTTTGCTCAATCCTGCAATTGTAAAAACCGCAATGTCAGCGAATTCATTTTGAAAACTCTCAACATTAATGAACGCAACGCATTGCTGATGGAAAAGAATGGTGGAGCAAAAACAGTATTAAATGGTTTGAATGGTTTGTTACACTCCTGCCATGATGATGATGGGGATGATGATAGTTGTGATCACCACCTGACGACAGATCATGATCACAGTGGTGGAACAGCAACAACAACATCGACATCATCGTCCATGAGGCATCATGTTAAAATTGCTCCAAAACCTTTAAATGCCAACAACAGCACATCTTTTAAGGGTTTCAAACATCGTATGAATGCGGCAACGGTTAAGAAAAATGTGGCCGTTCTATTTGCAATGGCCTTTATGGTCACTCTGAATGTGGGTAATTTCCAAAATTATCTAAATAAAACAACAGCATTGGAAAATGCCATGGAAGCTAGTGCCGCCACCGCAGCAGCAGCCAATGAAGCTGAATCGCCATTGGTTGCCCCAACGGGTAGACGCCTGCTATGGGTTCCGAATGAACATGAATTTATGGAACAAACCAACCGCAGCAAACGTGAAGCTGCCAATATACCACCACCACCGCCGCTACACTTTTTGCGGCCGGTAAATCGCACCGCAACGACAACGGGTAGATTGAATGGAACGACAACGAAAGATGAACCGCCTATAAAGGGTGTGGAATTTGGACCGACAACGGCTTATGGAAATATGACAAATTGTGCACAGGAAAATATGCGTTTGGCTAGGAATTTACACAAATGGATTGGAGATAATGGATATTTGAATATGACCGGCGATGACAATGGACTTATGGACAGCAACAATGTTAATGGACAATTTAATTTTGACACAGACTACGATATGGACTATGATGTGGGTGTAAAACAGAAACGTAAAATCTATTTAAATAATGGCGAGGAGGAACACTTGACCATGTCGGCAGCATCGGCAAAACAGAAAAAATATGACATGGCAACGGATGAACACAACTCATTGGATATTTTCAAGCCGCGCATCAGTGAGGAATATTTGCGGTTATTCAGAGGTATAAAGCGCCAGGATGATACATTTTATGTGCTATCCTTTAATATGGATCATTTGCTGTTGCCGGCATATTCCTATAATAAAAGTGCCCGGCCAAAAATGGCATTAATGTTGCCAGCCGGTGATCCCTCAATAAATGGCGATATTGTTCTCATGCAAATTGATTGTGAGGTTATGAATACGACAGAATTGAAAATTAAATCGCATATGATACCAGAGAAGTTGAGGCCGGTTAAATATGGACCCAATGTACGTGTCCATCCCAATGATGTGGCCAATAATGAAACAAAAAATAATGACGCAAAGGCAACCACAACTAAACCATCATCTGGTGGTGAGATCCACTTGAAACGAGAGGAAGACAAGGTGGTTGTTGTGGAGAAACCTTCTCCTTCGGTGAAAGTTTATAACATGATGGGTCCTAAAAATCATATCAATACAGCATCGCCATCATCAATACCAACAGCCACAGTTAAACCTTTGGCCGTGGATACAGCTTCGTTTAAGCGCAGGCCATTGAAATTCAATGCAAATGACAGTGTCATTGGCAGCGGTGTGCTAAATGTTCGAAATTCCACCTTATTTACCCGTATGAAGGAAACCGTCATTAATGGAGCTTCAAATGGTTTTATACCCTCAGCAGCGTCAGAGGTTAGAAAATTGATTTAAATTGATATAACAAACATACATTTTCTCCCACGGGCGGGCTATATGTCACTTGTGTTTGGACTATTTCAGAGATTCAGAAAAAATATTATTATTCAAATCAAGCAATAGATCTCATCGATTTTTTTGAACACCCATTTTTATTTACAAAATTTATAATATTTGTTTAAATTATAAAAATAAATACTTAAACCCCAAGGCAAGTGACAAAATGTAATTTATTGTTCAATTATTTTTAATTGGATTTTGAAAATAGTTTCGCCATTTTTTCATAGGTAATTCAAAGAACTTGAATATAATACTTTTATGGGTCGAATGAGAGATGGGATAAAAACTTCTACTGACCTGAAAAAAAAATTTGGAAACTATTCCAGCCCTGGCGAGATTGAAGATCTGCACTCAATCTCCACGGTCTGTAGTGATGTCGCGAGATTACTCAGGCAGTTGGCTGTCGAAACGGATACTGGTACTGATGGGACCTCCGTCGATAAGATGGATGATTCATCAGTACCAGTTACTGCTAAGCAAGTCATTGCCAAGGAGATCGCTGCCAAGAAGATGTATCGGAGAGCAGTTAACTACTGCAACCGATTCATCGGACGGGACAGCGACTCCATCACGGGAAAGGAGTTCCTTTTAATCAAGAGGAACCTCAAATTCATCCGGAAGTTCTCCAGGAACTACCCAGATGATATTGAGGGGGACTTCTTGATTGAAAGGACGCCCCGACCCTTCAAAGAAGGAGAAACCAGTCGGGGGTTCTAGTACACCTAGGAAGCCGATGCCTGAGACTTCTAAGCCCTCAGCACCTCCCAAGGGTAAACTGAGTACTGAAGACGTCCCAGATACCATTATCCACAAAGACGGAAGGTAGGGAATGTCGAAGTCTGAAGGAGAGCCCGTAAAAAGGCCCCTAAGAAGACCGATAAGACACAACCACCCTCTGTCGAATTGCCAAACCGATACCCAAGGCTTTGACAATTGGGAAGTTGCTAGTGGATGCGCCAAAGGTAGCGAGTGCGGTGACTGCGTCAGCTGGGCATATCTGTGGGGCGGTTGCAACCCTGGGTGTCAAGTTTATGCTCTTGCTTATATCCCTCCTTGTAGCATCATTAAAATAAATTTTAAATTAAATGAATATTTACCCTAACCTCAATTATGGACCCCATTAAAAAATGAAATTTATATTCTTTGAATTACAAATGAAAAAATGGTATTTGTAAAAAAATCTTCTTTTTTATTTTTACAGATGCTTAACACTTAAAACACAACACTTTTTATGGCTCAATATAATAAAATTTAATTCCTAAATTATAAAAATAAAACATTTGTTGTTTAAACACAAAAAATATAATTTTTTCTATGATAATTTATTAATAAGTTGGAATTATTGTAACACAATTATTTTATATCTATACACACACATACATAACTATATATTCTACATTAGTAATTTAGGCATTTATAACATTTCAATAATAATAATTATTATTATTATAAGTAACTTAAAAAACAAACGATAAAAATACACGGAAACTATTTGAAATATGTACGTGATTATTTGTGTGTTTTAATTGATTCATTTTAAATTTGTTTATTTCATAAATCGAAATATAATAGTGATGATGATAATGATTTTGTTTTTATTACTTTTTTCTGTTGTTATTTAGCCAAACTAAATAGCAATATTTTTTTCCAGCAATATTTGTGCAATCAATTGTATCTGTTTTATTATTAAAAAAATATATATATATATATATTTTTCATTGATATACATTTTAATAATTGTTAATGAATTATATTTACATATGATTTTTTTTTGTATTAAGGTAATACTACTTTTAATTTTATTCTATAAATTTAATATTGTATATATATATGCAACACATAATTTTATATAAAACAAAAATAATAAATAATTTAAATAAAGAATAAATAAACGTAGGTAAACCCTAAGATAATGTTGTTATTATTTACTAATTATAAAGCTACTGCTCTAAAATAATAACCAAAAAACAACGCTGATAAAATTTTATTCGGTAAATTTACTCTCTGATTGTGGTGGCTAAAAACAATCCACTTTTTTGGGGCGCAGTTCTTCCAATTTGAAAGACAATGCTCCGAAATGTTCTCTTTCACTTGATTTTTCCATTTAATTCGTGGCCTTCCATTCTGCGTGAGCCATCAGTTGGCTCGCTTTTATATGCCTTTCAAGCTGGGGCATCCTCATCCATTCTCACAACATGACCTAGCTCCTATTAACCATAAAACCACATCCAAATATATGTCTCGTTTCATGTCATTTACAATTCAGGTCGTAATCATCTGATTTAATTACGCCAGTCCCTTTCTATGGCATTTCTTGTAAGTCAATAATATGGGTTTTGTACTTCCAGAATACCTCCGCCAAAGCGAATGTACTGTTCTGTACAACGTGCGCACATTCCAAGTGCATATTCGCAGATTGTGGTCAACGGGTGATGAATATAGCTACCCCAGTTGACACAGCGGGGAGGTCAGTGTCCACAATTGAGATGAAAGAGGGACCAAGCCTGGGTTTTGCCATGTTAAATGCAATTAGAACCAGGGATGCGAAATGAAATTATTCAAATTGTACTGGCTTTGAATAAAAAGTGTACTTTTTTCAGTCCGATTGTACTTTTTATATATTTTTTAATACAATTTTTATTGTTATTAACAATTAATATAACCATACATAAAAAAATTAATTAAGATTTGAAGCAGTCGAAGCATGTATTCTGTTCCTTTCTTTGGTTTTAATTATATTTTGATATGAAAATACCCTTTCCACATTTGTAGATGAATGTGGAATATATAATAACCCTCTAAAAATTTGTGTTATATAAGGAAACATATCTTCGTTTAGTTCATTTTTGACTTCAGTCACCATTGACCAACAAGTGCATATATTGTCGTTTTTGAAAGACTTAAAAATTTCTACATGCATTCTGGCATCCTCAGACTGCATTTCTAATTTGATATTATTTATAATTTTGTACATATTGCGAGAACAAAATTAACAGTAACCAGTAAGGAAAGTTCAAAAGACGGACGGGGGCGACAATACGTTACCCTTCATCACTTTAGGTACATATAAGAGATGCTAAAATATAGATATTTGAACATATTAAAAAACATACACATACCATTCTGAAATCAATGAAAAATTGCATAATAAAAATGGCATGGCAGACTTGGATTCTTTGGTGTCTTTTGTTTTTAAATCGTTGCATACGCCATTCAGTTTTTGCAACTTTAAGGGGACCCCCATTCTCGGTTTCAAAAAAGTTAGTTTTATATTTCAATTTAATTCGAACCTACACTAATTCAAGAATGTCCCTATAAATTTCCAAGTGAAAATCTCAACATTTTTTTAAGATATAGACGATTTATTGTGTTAGCATCGAATGACGGCAAGAGGGCTTCTCAAACTTTAAATGCGTTTTTCTCCAAACAGGGTTTTTTAATACACATGACTCAAAACTCAATTTAATACAATCTGCCAATAAATAAGTCAATAAAACTTGGCACACATCAGTCTAGACCTAATTCAGTACTCTGTGCAATTTTCGGACGAAAATCGACATAAAATCGGACGAAACTATATATGGGAGCTATATCTAATTCTGAACCGATTTCAATAAAACTTGGCGTGTATCAGTCTAGACGTAATTCAGCACTCCGTGTAAAATGTTTTCTCAATCGGAAAAATATTGGGAGTTGGTGCACCATTTACATAAAATCGGACGAAACTATATATGGGAGCTATATCTAAATCTGAACCGATTTTCCCCAATTTCAATAGGGTTCGTCCTTGGGCCAAATAAGTGACCTGTGCCAAATTTCATTCAAATCAGATCATAAATGCGACCTGTACTTTGTTCACAAAAATACATGGACGGGTGGACAGACGGGCGGACGGAAATGCATAAATCGACTCAAAAAGTGATTCTATGCATATTCTCAGAAGGAACCATGGGTCTATTTCGATTCCTTTTGCCTGTTACAAACATATGCACAAAGACATAATAGGCGGTATCACAGTGTGTTGAAGGGTATAAAAAGGGTTTGAAAATTCTGAAATAATAGAATTGAGCCTTAACTTTTGGAAATCAGCTTCGAAATCATTATTAAAATAATATTGAAGTGATTCCCACTGCGCCAAAATTGTTTCAATAACTTCTTGACGTGAAAGCCACCGATTTGGTGAGTATTTAAAAACAACAGAAATATCTGTACCGCAATATTCCTGAAACAATGAAAAATCATCGCTCTCATAGAACTGTTACGCAAATAATAATTAATATCTTTACTGAATTTATCATTCTGATCGGGAATACTGAATTCTGAATTGGCATAGGACAGTACGTTTAAACTGTGGCAAATTCATCCATTCGTAACGACAGCGGGGGATGGCGATCCATTTCATATTGTATGTTTAAGCACTTATAATACCTTTAAGTGAGAATAGTTTGATACAATTTAGAAATAGTGCTAAATATGTCATTGGGGTGCTATTGTATTTTTGACTTCCAAATAGTGCTAAAATTAGTACAATTGTACCAACTTTTGCATCCCTGATTAGAACCGTTGTTTGGTATCCATCATCCCCTACGCCAATATAATTTACAGATTCTCCAATAGATTGTCATGGCTAAGTTACAACCGTCAACCTTTTCCTACTCCTTTACATTTTTCCTTTGACATTAGACAATTTTATTTGTAGCAATTGCCAGTTTTAGGACGAGAAATTTAAAGCGTTGGCATTTCCCGAAATCTTTCACCAACAAAGTACAGAATTGAGGCCATTAAAATTGTTTAACTTATATGAGGAGTAAACTGAAGAATTGGAACACCTAAAACTGCCAAATATAAAAAAGGATACGATTTTTAAAAAAAAGACATTTTAAATAAATCCAACATATTGGAAATTAAAAAAACAGACCTCTATAATTTTTTAACATTACTTACTTTCTTGTAGAAGTACTCTTCTTCGCGAGCTGCTTCCATTTTACCAAAGCTGCCACCTGCTTACGAATGGAATCATCGGCACCACTGTTCAATCCCCCAATTCAGGGTGTTCCAAATGGAATGACAATTTTTAAATTCAAAAATCCACCGTATGAATATTGGATAAAAATCCCTTGTGCAACTACTTCAATTTTAACCGCCTTTTAAATTGTCATCTCTTATCAGATTTGCCAATACGACAAAACAACTCACATTACGAGAGTTGCCAAAGCAATAAAAAGCTTTCAATGCAATGACAGCCGGTTGGCAAGTGACAGTGTTGCCAATCGCCATTCTCCATAATTTGCATTCAAGTTTCAATCAACCATTTTATTGCCGGTGTTGTGTCCAGTCCAGTCTACATTTAACATCCAGTATTTGATCGTCTTGTTTCTGGAAAGGAAAGAAGAAAGTAAGTGGAAATAACCTTTGGCCGAGGAATTTTTTATAAACTTAATAGAAATCGAAATCTAGAGAATTTTTTTTGTGGAAAATAAATGCAATTTCTTTGTTCAATTTAATTGCAGTTTCGTATTAATCATCATCATCATGCTCAGACGTAGTTTGCGTTTATATCCCAGTGGCTTGAAGTAAGTATGGAAAAAATAAATATTTTTTTCTAATATTTTTAATTTGAAGTGTTTTTTTTATTATTAAGAGCATTAATTCAAAACGATGGAGGTTAGAGAATTATTGCCACCATACAGCCAACCATCCATCCATCAAATTGTTTTTTTTTACTGGAGGGGTGATTCAACTTGAGTGCAAATATTTGCAATCTCATTGTTGTTGTTTTCACTTTTTGTATGCTGTTGTTGGTTGTCTATCTTAAGAAATTTTAAGTTGACTTGTGCTGTATTAATAATTGGTTCCACAAACAACAACAATTAAATAGAATATATAGTATAAAAAAAGTGAAAATACGCAAAAAGAAATGTCGACGTACAAACACACATACTCCGCCTCTAGGTGCCACATATAAACATTTCATTTTTCATATCTTCTCTTTGTCTTTCAAATAACATTTCAATTTTTTTGTTTGATTTGTTTGTTTTGGTGGCTTGGGGAGGTGGTGAGGAAAGACGAAGGTTTCCATAGAAGTTGTGTATTTCTAATTTGCAAATTATTTAGCAGGTTTATTTCAGAATGCCAGAATTTGTGTGTTGTGTATTTATTTATTAAATGCTAAATGGTATTTGTTTATTTTTATTTATGCCGTTTGTTTATTTTTGTTAATTTTTGTATTCTACAGTGTCGCAAAAATGAGCTCCTCCAGCCAATTGGGGGATTTGGGCAGTGGTGCCGGTAAAGGTGGTGGTGGCGGCGGTTCCATTCGTGAAGCCGGTGGCAGTTTTGGTAAAATGGAAGCAGCTCGCGAAGAAGAGTACTTCTACAAGAAAGTAAGTAATTTTAAAAATTGTCGGGCGCTTTTTTTTATTTTCCAATATTTTGGATTTATTTAAAATGTTTTTGTTAACAAATTCAATCCCTTTTTTATATAAGCCAGTTGTACTCCAATTCTTCAGTTTACTCATCATATAAGTTGAACAATTTTAATAGCCTCAATTTATTTATTTATTCCAAAAATGCAATTTGAAGCCATTAAAGCCGATTTTAATTAAATTGCAAACTATACTACCCCAATTCCAAATCAATTCTGTAATCAATTCCAAATCAAGTCCATCAAGACTTCATTTCCCAAAATATTCCATAAAGTATGTTTTAAAACATGTTTATAATGGCATTTGTATTGGGCAAATCCTATAAATTTCCTATATCTCTGCTTTAAAGAAGTATGTCTGTTCCAGAACCTGAATGTAGGACTTATTTTCTACCATAATTTTTTTTCCTTTATGATATCGAAAGAATTAGTAGTTCTTGCATCAGAAAAAGTATTTATAATTTTTGAAAATTTTATATATCGTAGACGTTTCATAAATTTCCAATATCTATTCCATAAATAATTTTAATTTTTTTCTAGATTTGTTTTGTTGTTGTTCCCGTTTGTTTTTTCCTTTGTATGTGCGTTGTTAGGGCAAATGATGTCATAGAAAGCACTTGACAAAGTTTTTTTTTGTTATTGTTGGCCAAACAAATAGATTTGTTTTTGTTCTTATCATATGTGGATGATTACATATGCAATAAATATCCAATATATAATGGTGCAGGGGTAAATGACAAAGGTGTTTTAGAAATTTCTGGCCAAAAATATATGAATAAGAAATTGTTATTATCAAATTTTTTTGTTTGCTTTTTATACGATTGAAGTCATTTTGAATAGGGCATTCAAAACACCTGCTGAAATCAAATCCCATAGACTTTTAAAATTGGAAATAATATTCTTTAAAAAATCAAATACTATCCAAGATTTAGTTGCAATGCTTGATACGTCTTTGTCTTTTGTCCCGCAGTTGGTCCACATAATTACTGAGGCCTACAAGGTAATTGGATTTGTAAAAAGAAATTGCCCAGAATTTTATGATCCTTATAGCACAAAAATTGTTTATACAGCCTGTGTCAGATCTTAACTTGAATATGTCATAATCATTTGTGGACCCTTACTGAAATTTCCAATCAGTTTGTTTTATATTTGACTTCAACACGAACTTGTTCAATACTTCATAGGCATCGATTTTCCGTTTGTCTTGTTCGAGGTTCTTCATAACTCTTGACCCACTCACTTTGATGTCGCACACGGTTCATCTGTGTGTCATACCTTCATCTGGCCAGGTACAGTGTCCGGCAATGTTGCTTCACGCTCTCATATTTTCTTTATTTCAAATAAATTTTGAGAAATCAGAACAGTTTGTATTTTTTCATGATTACACTAATATTGAGTGGGATAGCTTACTGGGCTATCTATTGGATTATAATTTTTCCACATTTAATGCCGCTTGTGATGTGAATGTTAAATGTGATCTGTTTTCTAGTCTAATAATTGATTTACACAAATTTGTTCCGATTGTTAAAAGGAGGTTATCCTTAAAGGTGGATACGTGGATGGATTGTAATGAGATAGGTTTTTTTAGATTATTGAGAGACGAGCATATCTGCAGAATGGTAGTTATAGACCATGGAAAGTGTATACTAAGTATAGGAATAAGTGCAAATCAGTTATTCGTAAGAGGAAAATAAGGTATTATATGAAGCAGTTTAGTGGTATGGATACATGTGGATTATGAAAAGTACTTAGGGAGTCTGGATGTGTTGGTGATAATAGTATGTTTTATAATGGTGACATAGATGAGCTGAATATTTTTTCTCTGACAATGTTCACTCAGCTGTTTATGTATAATTATATTTCAATTTGTTTTCTGACACTGATAATTCATTTGCCTTTGGTTATGTACGCATTGAGGATGTAGTTCTGGCGCTTTAAAAAATAAAGTCGAGGGCTGTTAGTGTAAATAATATATCATTGAATTTTTTCATTGCCATTTTCCTTATATTGTCTAAATCGTTTTCGATTTGATGAATAGTATCAGTAACACATCTGTGTTTCAGATTATGTTATAAATTGACCAGCATGACCAGATTATGTTGTTTTAACCAGCATGTATTCCGTAGAGGTCATAACACTACATAATTATTGCTCCATGTTACTGATATGGTTAGATATAACGCTAATATAGGGAGGATATCCTCCTTAGTTTACTTGGCTTTGACCAAGGTTTTTATCTCTATATCCTACGACAGATAGGTCTTAATTTGTTATAGTCAAAGCTGTAAGATCTGGAATTGCATTTTTGTCCCACAGCGATCCGCCCTTGAGGGTTTTGCATTGATTTGTTGGGTTTTGCATAGTGTTAGACAGGTTCTATAGAAATTTACCATTTGCCAGCTGAACAACATTATCAGAAGTTATATCAACATTCTAAACTTTTTAGCTACAATTTTTTGTTTTTACATTCTTTTAATCTTATTTAATAATACAAATTGTCTTTCCATTTTTTTTTTTTTAGCAAAAAGAACAATTGGAACGTTTAAAGAACGACCAAATCCATCAAGCTGAATTCCATCATCAACAAATCAAGGAACACGAAGAAGCCATTCAACGTCATAAGAAGTTTTTGGAGAACTTGAGCAAGTGAATGAGGAATACTCGCACCTGCTACACAACCCCTTTAACAAGGCCGCCGTTCCTTAAAGTTTCAAATAAATAAAAAAGACGAGACTGGTATTCTCGTCCTTTAATCCTTACAAACAACATCACCACTTTAACCTTAAACTGCGCAATGTCAATGGCCCGTAAAACAAACAATTGCCACGAGCTTCTTTTTTGCTGCACATAAAATATAGCTATTAAAAGTAATTTATCTACAATTTTTGGAGAACATTTTACAAAGTTTTTTCTACATAAAATATTTAATAAATTCTTTTGTTGATTTTTTTTTTAATTTTTCTTGGCTTGTGAAATATTTTGATAATAAAACATATATTTAATACAAAGAATTATATTTGTTTGGTATTTATTTACTGTTGATGGTGTTTTAAAAAAGACTGGATATTTGTTTTTGAAATGTTTATCCAGTGCTTAAATATTTATTTCTTCAGCAAAGATAAGTAATAATAATGCAAGCAAGATAAGCAATTGTTTGCTGAATTTATGATAATAACAAATAATGTAAATATGAAAGGAAAGCTAATGATGAACGTTAAGTAATTTATTAAATTTGGAGCGCGGTATAAAGCCGATATAGAAATAGGAAACATTAAAATTGCTCAGTACGAAAAATGTTAAAATCTTCTAAACTTGTAGTGAGTTTCGCACAATTGTTGTTTAGTATGCTAGTTATAGAGCTGACTGAGGTCCGTAATTTAAAATTACTTTGGGTGGCCGTCTGCCCTAAATATAGCAATCCTTCTTTAGATATCTGTTTCAACGTCTGTATTAAAATTCTCATATGAAAGAATCCAATTTTTATTTTAAACCTTACTTATGAAAATGTTTTCATATATCCTACCTTTAATGATACAGCTTTCATTCTGAAGAAAAATTCATTTCTTGCTGGATAGTTTTGAGCATTGTTTTCATTCGTGAGAGAATGTCAGAATGAATTTCAACCACCAAACGAAACGAACGATCGTTGTTATGTGTTCTCACTCGTTTGTTATGTGTGTGCGAACATTCTTTGGCGAATGCTCGTTTGGTAAGCGTGGTTTTATAAAAATAATCTGTTGAGAGTTTCTCTCTCTAAATAATTAAAGTTGCGCTATTTTTAATTTTGTAACAAGTGTACTTTTTGTTCACAAAAGGTACGAATTGACATAAACGTACCAAAACAAAAATTAGATTTTTTATTATTCGTGAATACATTTACGCTTACATTTATAACATATATTATTTATGCAAATAACTGGTATAAATATTGGCCAATATTTCTCGATAATTATGATTTATTACCATTTGAAGTAGAATTTTAGGTACCTTTTCGTACTTTTTTGTTCCTACCTGAGGTAATGTCAAAGACATAGAAACCATAAAGACTCGACAAAATGCATTTTGACAAAATAGTTTATGAAAAAATATCCAGGGGGAGTCAGGCATAACAGAGGCATGTTAAGAATAAAAACGCCAATACGCGAAAATGTGTGAATAAAATGTAAATAAAATTAGAGGCCTGCACTCAAAATATGTATTTTCATTTTATAAGCTTAAGATATAGCATTAAAAACGTTTAATATTGTTCTCTCTGTTGTTATGATATCGTAACAACAGAGGAAAAGCCATCTGTTGGAAATTGCTTACGTATCAATTGTCCTATCTTTATACTTTTATGTCTTTGGTAATGTTTTCCAACACAATTCACAATTTACCACTGAGAGAGAGAAACTCTCAACACCGATCCCGATCCCGACAAATATAAAACCACGCTAAAGAATTTATCGCACATAAATTCATTCGTAAAATTAGCACAAAACGAAAAGAATATATTTTGTATCATTCGCGAGCGAATTTTTGCACACCCTGATAAAAATTGACTTAAATTATGGAAACGTAAAAAAGTCCAAAATTTTTGACATTAGACTTGGGAAAAACAGCTGATTTCGCTAGCTGAGTGACCTTATTAATAGATCTTGGAAGTCAATTCACAATAATGGATTTTGACAGCAAATTTAAGAGGCGGCAGATATCCTGGTGGTCTCCCTGGACAACCTTATATAAGCCTTGTCTTTAGCAAAGACCACAGGAAGAAGAAAACATGCAGCTCTTCCACATCTTACATATAGGAAGAAAATTACATGCAGGAAGAATAATACCCCCAGGTCTTCTAAAGGAAGAAAAATGCCAGCAGCTTTTCCATAGGAAAAATAATACCTACAGATCTTCTACAGGAAGAAGAATACCTGCAGCTATTTCTAATGAAGAATAATACCAGCAGCTCTTCCACAGGAAGAAGAATACTTGCAGCTCTGCTATAGGAGGAAGAATTCCTCCAGCTCTCCTATAGGAAGAATACCTTGGGCTTTTTCGAAGGATGCAGAATATCTGCAGCTCTTTTAACGGAATAAGAATACCTGCAACTCTTCCACAGGAAGAAGGTTTTTGCAGCTCTTCCAAAGGAAAAGAATACCTACAGTTCTTTCGCAGGAAGAAGAATACCTGCAGCTCTTCCACAGGAAAAAGAATACCAGCAGCGCTTCCACAGGAAGAGGAATTTCTGTAGCTCTTTCAAAGGAAGACTAATACCTGCAGCTCTAGTATAGGAAGAAGAATGTCTGCAGTTTTTCCACAGGAAGAAGAAAACATACAGCTCTTCCATAGCTTACCTATAGGAAGAAAATTACAAGCAGGACGAATAATACATCCAGGTCTCCTAAAGGAAGAGAATACCAGCAGCTCTTCCATGGGAAAAATAATACCTACAAATCTTCTACAGGAAGAAGAATACCTGCAGATCTTTCAAATGAAGAATAATATCAGCAGCTCTTCCATAGGAAGAAGAATACCTACAAATCTTCCACAGGAAGAAGAATACCTGCAGCTCTTTCTAATGAAGAATAATACCAGCAGCCGGTTAAATCTAAACGTACTATTAGACTTGAGAAAAACAACAGCTAATTTTCGCTAGCTGGGTGACCTTATTAATAGATATTGATTGTTAATGAGGGTAATTATCCAACAACAAATTTGAATAAATTAAACAGAATATATTTTCTAATGCTGAACATTGCTCTCAAGATTTAACCATGGTTGTTATAACTCATATTTATACGTTATCGATAAAGTTCTTCTTTGTTTATTTTTATAAATATATATCGATATCTAGTTATTCTAGCAATTTTTGGGCCATTCGCATCTTTATTTTTTATACAAGGGCTGACTTTCCCAATTTTAGGTTTACAGTACGAATTGTTGTCAATTTAAATAAATTTTACAGAAAATGATTTTGTTAACACGAAGTAGTTTTTTGTACATATTTTTTAATATCAACGGCATTTAAGTAAAAAATTCCAAGATGTGCTAATTGGGTGTCCCCCTCAAATTTGACTTGTTTCATAAATACCGTTATATATCACAAATTTCCCGTGATAATTTTCTGTTCTCACACTTAATCGCTCTAGCACAATGCCCATTAAACGGCATTTACATTATAACTTTTTACCAGGTTAACCTACTCTATGAGGATTTATTTGACATGTATACGATGGAATTGACAATTGAAATCCACTGGGTTAACGAAATCCGGTAAAATTTAAACTATTAATGCTTTGAATAAAATTATTTAAAAATATTCCAAATGAATTGAGTATTATGCAAAACATTTTGCCCTTAAGGTGTGTGCTACTTAGGTGACCGGCACTGTAGCTCCTATATATAATTTCGTCCGATATTAAGTAAATGGTGACCAAACTCCTAATGTTTGTTCGATTGACACGAAATTTTGCACAACGTATCAAATTGGACTAGAATGACGTTATTGCATTTTGTTGAAATTGGTAACATGCCAGGCCTGAATCCTCGAATTTGAATCGTTTAGAGTTGGCCATAGATTTTTTTCAAGAAATATATAAGAACATTAAGCAAATTCTCTAAATAAGCATTCTTTTGTATTAATGTACAATTTAAAATTCATCTAGTATTTTTTTGTACATTTTGGGACCAATTTAGAATAATTTCATTGAAAATTTTATTTGAAGTGAAGACCCTAATATATTCTGACAATTTTCTTACAAAAAAGTACAAAAAAAAAAAAAAAAAAACGGATTGATTGTCACTTATAGTACTTTTACATTTACATACTGGATTTCGTTAACCCAGTGGGTTTTAATTGTCAATTCTCTTGAATATATGTCAAATAAATCCTCATAAAGTAGGTTAACCCGGTAAAAAGTTCTAATGTAAATGCCGTTTTACACCTTGTATTTATGTATATTACTAACAAATGATATGTTCCGGGTCTATTTTAATAGTAAAGCTAGTAAGAGAGAAACATTTCAAAATCGCTCTCAAAGTACCATGGCACAATAAATACCCAGTGGGAAAAGTGAGAACGTATCACATTGAGAATCGATTTAGTAATACATTATAATCATTACATTATATTATGTATCCGTAATAATCGAGAAAAGAATATAATTAAACAAAAAGTTGAATTATTAAAGAAGATACATTATATAATGTATCCCAAAGGTAACGAGAAGGTAATTTCAATTGACAACAATTTAATACCAATTACCTAATCGATAAGGCAATGTAATTTTTCATTTCTTTCTTGATTTTTATTGTTTAACAGCCTGTTTTTGTAAAATTCTAAACTAACGAATTCGAGTGACTTACGACAATTGTGTTTCATTTAAAGCCAACACATTATTTAATGAAATCGGGACAATAAATTACTTTATATATTACTAAGGACGAATAAAATAATATATTATCACTCATCGATTACATTATGCATTATATGGATAGTATAGAGGAATATATTATTTTCGTAGGACATACAGCGTGTTACGGATAATGCATACTGTAATCAATAAATCATAGTGGCTGTGCATTACCCGGTAGTTTACCATCGATTACTTTTTCCCACTGGGATAGGTAGTCCATTTAGAGCTGCTCAGGGCACATTTAGCGCAGCTGATGTCTTGATTAA